GAATTCTTAAAAAAAATGAATTTCAGAAAAATGTATCTAAAAATGTTATAATAAATGTTATCATTAGTTTTTTTACTCAAATACATTACTGCATTTAAAAAATTAACAAAAGCTGTATATCTAAATCAGACAAAATAAACAAAAACATTTAACCTTTAATATATATTTTCTTAAATCATAAGAAAAAAATGACACACTTGTAAAATAACACAATGCACAGCAATAATAATGGTCTTTGATGTTATGCACATTTCTCATAAAGTGATAAGACTAAAGGAAAACTTATCTTCTAAACTGACTTTTGTCATTTGTGATTAGATTTATAAAGAAAGAGGAAATGAACAGGGTACTTTTCTAGGCTCACCTTTTCCACTATCTGATGTTGCATCTTTGGTTTTTTTATTCTGGCTTGGCGACTTTTCATTCTCCTGTAATGAGGGCAAAAAAAAAAAAAAAAACATTAACTTGATGCTTTTCTACTAAATGTTTTTAGCACCACTGCTAATATTTTCATATATTCCACCTACATTTATTCTGTGGAAATTGATGCTCCAGTTGGCCCCAGCTCGGGATGGTATAAATCTGTCCCCATGTTTGCTTGGCGATGACAATGGTGACTCAGGTGTCGGGGTCAGGTGACAGATCACATCTTTTGCTTTCTGTATACAAAAAAAAGAAGTAATCAGATAAATTTATTGGTCAGAAAATAGGTAAAAATATTAAAACTGATAGTATAACTGATAAGTAATTAACGCACTATTTATGCTAGGGCTGGGCCAATAAACTATATTATATCAAATTGCGGTAACATTTACGTCAATAACAATAAGCTCTGGACTTTTTTACTCTATATTGATCTAAGAGCCAATCACACAGCAGAAATATGCAACAATGGGAATCTAAAATTGTGCTGAAATTAGATATGTACCAAATTTTCAGGCACTGAAAATTAACAACCGAAAATATGTTATGCCATTTAATGGACCCTCTAATTTTTGTGTCATAAGTTACTCTTTTAAATCTGGAAGCATTAACAACTTATATAGAAATATACATCTTTATAGTTACATATGGAAAATAATTAGCTTCTAAGATTTAAGACATTTTAAAACTTTAAGACCCTGCCAAAACCCTGGAGATTGAATTTTTCAACCAGCCTTAATTTAAGCAGCTTCCTGTGGTTCCAAACCTTTGAGCTTCAGTTAAACACCAATACATGTATTTTAAAGAAAGCTGAAAACATGTAACCATTGAATTCCATAGTAGGAAAAACAATGACTGAGGATAAATTGGTTTTATATTTACACATTCGTTAAATGACAGCCTGTGACATGCTCCGTATATCATGGTGCTTTGAATATTTGGTCTGAAATCACATGCAAGTATGACTCAAAACAACATTAGCACTATTTATTTAACTGTGAACAAAGTTGTAATTTGACATTCGTTGGCTGCTAGTATGATTTAGAATTTGCAAACTATAGTTTTATAATATTATATTTGGTAACATGACATTGAAACATCAATTTATATTTCCCAAATAAACTAACCACAGAGTTATGGGATCAGAAAAATATGAATCTGTAGACATACTTAATATTTTAAATGAGGGAAAAAAAAAAAAAACATGCGTTATGATTGTGACCAAAGAAGTATGTGTGTTTAACGTATATAATATACTTTGTAAAAATTCTGTGAATGAAACTGCACAAAAACAAAAGAAATAATGCTAATCAAAAGGATGAAAATTGGCTCACTATAGAACAAAATTATTTATTAAAATAATTATTACATTTTTTGCATTTATGAGGAAAAATCTTCATTATAGATGTGAAATTGCCACTTTTGTGACTTTGATAAATCAAATATAATAGTTTGAAAACATTGACAGAAACATTTTTTAGTATGTTACAGTACTGTAAAAATTCAAGCTAACACAAAAAACCCAGAAAGGGTTTCACTAATTTGGTGAAAACTTTTTTTTTCATGGCATGGTTGACATTTGCATGGAATCGCAATGTAAATGAGGACAGAATTAAAATATTTGAGTAACCAAAAAACATCTAGGTCATCAAATTAATTCAAGTTTGCAGTATTCCAGATGACAGACTAACCATAGGGCTGGTGTTGTCATTTTGGACGTTGATCTGCCGCAGTAACCGGCGCTCATAGTCCTGATCCATGGATGTTATTCTAAAATATGGAAAAGTGGAGATCCAGGGGTGCCTGAACTGCAGGGAAAACAACACATTTTTAGAATATAGAAGATACAATTTTAGAAGGTCATGATGATGTACATGAATAGTTAAAGGTCTACACTTGAAGTATGGTCATTTGTTTGCTGATTAACGAGGCAGAAGGGTGTAAGTCTCGTCAGCAGATGCCATCTGTTCAATGCCACATAAACAGGTGTTAGTGAACAGCTGCTCAATCGACATCCTCCAAACAATAGCAACACAAAACAAGAATATGCTGCAGTTGCCACTTCACGACGATTTAATAAGAAACAAAGCGCTTTTGATACAATCCTTTGTAGACTAAACCAACAATGACAGCAAATCTGCTGATATATATATTTTAAAACTGCAACACGAGGACGTTAAATGCTTATTCAATAACGGGTGACGTTAAAACAAATAACCAACGTAAAGCCAAAAAGCAACTGTCCCACATTCATTCTTAGCATTGAATGCAGATTTACGAGATTCCTTTGTCAACAAAGCTAATTATCAACATTGGTGTCATTTAACGCAGAAAATTCGTTTTATTGCATATAAAATTAAACAAAACTCTGTATATACATGAAATAAACAACTAAATATTTAGCGTTTATACGCCCTGGCTCTAATTATCTTGGTGTTTTGCAATGGATTACTGTGCGGCTAGTAAGGCTAATTTGATCTCACGGTCATCGGACCTACCTTGACAACGCTATTCGGCGAATTTCTAATCTGATCGGCTCAACCTCGATCGAAGCAAAACCGACGACTGTAAATCTTGGGGTGAAATGGGAAATATGTGATTAATAATGTTTTATTCGCCGCTTCGATGTTGTTAGCAAGACGAAGCTGTTGTTGTCGATGGCTCCGCAAGGAATCATGGGACTGAGTTAAACGGTGACGTCACGAAATTTGAAACAAAACAAAAACGTTGACGTATTTCTTTTTTAATTGCGAAGATTGGTACATTATTCTGTACGAAAAAAATCCATTAAATTATATATGTTTGAATTGAATTTATTTGTAAAAAAATGTAAAATTTTGCACATTATGATAAAGAATTACTGAGATGAGATTCAATTCATGACGCCTGACGTGTACTCATGTTGTACTGTCATTTTAAAACTGTTTTATAAAGTATATATATATATATATATATATATATATATATATATATATATATATATATATATATATATATATCATCTAGAGTATTTTTATTATTTCTTTGTAAATGAACACTAATACATAATAGTACTGAAGTAATAACATCTATTGATCTATAACTAAATCCACTGTTTACGTTACTAGTGTAACTGGTTCAATTAAGACAGAATATAGGAGAAGAAATTATTTAAATATAGGTAAAAACAAATGAACAAATACTACTAATACTAATAATGATGATAATAATAACAGTAAACATGTACCATTGTTTTAAAATAAATACTTTTATTTTGTTAAAACTTTGGGAAACCGGAAGTGGCGCTCCTTATTAAGTTAGTTCACAGTTGCAATGTTATGTGAGTGATGATCATGGTGCTATCCTCTTTGACTATGATCAGTCCTTTTTAAATCACGAATAAACCGTTTTACTGTGTAAAGTATTTACACCTTCCACACAAAATGCCACGTTCGTATTTGAAAACGGACGAGGCGAGAGATGCCGCAGAGATGAAATACTTGCTTGCATCCAAAATTCGCCGCCGAAAAGAAGAAATCCGCAACTACATATTAGAAAGGCGAGCAGAAATTCACAAAAGAATCCGATATCGAAGGCATCTTTTCCAGAATTACCTGAGCACGAGAACGGTAAACCACATTTCTGTGAATGTTTACATTAATTTCCAAGACTTGACTCTACTGAAGTAACTCTTTATTGTGCACAGGAATGTGAAGAAAATAAAATGTTAATAAATTATATTGAAGCTTTACAGAATAACTCCTCAAAAATGCATGTATGTAATGTAATTTATTGTTGCCTCTCCGTATAATCCAGTCTCCATCACCGACTGAAGAAGATTTGCCAAATCATGTCCCAATCCCTTCAGACCCAGACTGGTGGGAAAGAGTGGTAATGACTGAGTTTGGACCGGAAGACTGGCTTGACAAGTTCCACGTCACAAGAGAAATCTTCCTCCTCCTGAGCACGAAACTCAAGCCTCAGCTGGAGCAAGTGTACATACAGCAAACCCAACAAACCATAACATTGGAGAAATGCATAGCCATGGCCTTAATGCGTTTGTCCACCAGCACAGAGTACTGCTTTTTAAGCGAACTATTTGGGGTGCCAATCCCTGCTGTGTGTCAGTGTGTGCGGGAGGTGTGTGAAGCCATCATTTTGTTATTAAAACCCATCTACATGCAACTACCAGCACAACATGAACTAGAGGACAATGTGGAGCAGTTTCGTAGCTTGTGGGGTTTTCCTCATTGCATCGGCGTCATCGATTCCCTTCACATCCCAGTTAACCTGCCTGCCGCGGAGAGCCAGGACTGCTGGAACCCAAGCGGGTGGCACTCTGTGGTTCTCCAAGGGGTGGTGAACGCTCATGGTAATTTCTGGGACGTGTGTTCTGGTTTTACAGGCAGCACAGATGATATGACCATCTTGCAGAGCTCAGAACTGTGGACTATGGCAGAGAAGGGAGGTTTTTGCTCTCAGCCGCCCAAAGAACTCATGGGACGCCCGTTGGGGTTTCTGTTGTTGGGGGATGTGGGGTTTTCTCTTCAGAATTGGTTACTGAAATGTTATCCATCTTCATCCAATCTAACCCCACAACAGCAAACCTTCAACGTCAAACTCAACCTCGGCCTTAAAGTCATCGAGCAAGCTTTCCAGCGCCTCAAAGCACGCTGGCAGTGTCTGCACAACAGAAATGACAACAACGTCGATTTGGTGTCCAAGATGGCTGTAGCTTGCTGTATATTACACAATATCTGTAGTGTTCACGACAGCCCGTTTAAAGACGAGTGGGTTGAAGCACTGAGTCAGAATGAATGTCCACAGCCCAAAGATGTGTCTACGGTATATATAGATGATCCTAATGCTGAGGCCGTACGTTCTGTAGTCTGTAGTTATTTTGAGCAGCAGCAGCAGAGCCAAACATTTGATCAGTCCCCAACAAGCAGCCCGGTTCTGCCTGTGCCAGAGCCTCCTCAAGTGGACAGTGCTGGAACAACATAGCTGGTGTTAGACTGTTCATTTTATTAGCCTCATTATAGCTGCTTTTTAATACTCTCAAATGGCATTAGGAAAGCTATACATTTATATTTAAACATGTATTTAAATCAGCATCTCATTTTATGAATTATCTTTCATTATTTTCTCCAATTCAATAGGATAATCAGAAAATATCAGTGTTAGCTACTGACTGTCAGTATCACCTTTTCTTGAAGTTGAAATTTTTTACAATCTTTCTTTGTTTTCGCCTAAAGTAATTTTTCTCCCACACATATTTGAGCTTACAGGCCTGCTGCCATGACAACAATCCCAGGATGAGCTACAAAACACCAAGCAATCCTAGATCATGTTAGATTGCCTGCTATAACATCAGGTTAATCAGGTTCTCTGATTTCTAAACAAAGAAAATGACACATTTTGTTCTGGTTCATCATCAAACTTATCAGCTTCTGTGACATGTATTTAACAGTGACATATACTTATGACTAGTGTTGGAGGAAACGCATTACAAGTAACGCGAGTTACGTAATATTACTTTTCTAAGTAACAAGTAAAGCAAAGCATTACATTTTACTTTTTAAAAAAATTAGCGTGAGTTAGAAAAGTTACTTTTTAGTTTAGGTAATACGCTTTTAAAAAATTAAATTGCTGATATAAAATGAACAGTCACATTGAATCACATGCAATGAGAGAATGCGGGAACAGACAGAAATGAAGATGGCAGAGTCTTTCTGTGATGGAAATATTCTCATTATTTTGAACACAAGAAAGAAAAGAAAAAGAGGATTATTTGACTGGACAGTGATTTTACTGAGCTTATAAGACAAAAAGTACAAAAGTAGCAAGCACTTTGCTTTAAATTTTATTAACCTGTATATACGGCATGTATAGCTCTGGGGTCAGGAAGTTCTCCAAAGATAACATTATTCTACACTCTCAGAAATAAAGGTACAGGAGTCTCTGTGGCAGTACCATTTTAAAATATAAATATTTGTACCCAAAGAGTCCACAATGGTACCTTAAAGGTGCATGTCAGTACCCAAATATACCTAAAAAGTACCTTTGAGGTACCATTGTGGACCATTTAAGTACAAATTTGTACCCTTTGAAAAGGTACTGCCACAGAGACAGCTCCTGTACCTTTATTACTTTATTTCTGAAAGTGTACATTAATTTGGTTTATGTGTTTTTTTTTTAAAGGTAAATTAATTTTAGGTTATACAGTGTTTTGTTAATTTCAGAACTGCTCTATTTAAAAAACATGCAAGTTCTGAAAAGGATCAAGCCTCAGCCAGGTCAGAAAAAGTAACTAGAAAGTAAACATTTCCTATCATAAAAAGCAACTAGTTACTTTTTTGGTGGAGTACCTCATTATTGTAGCGCAATACTTTCAAAAGTAACTTTGCCCGTTTGCTTATGCGAAACTTATTTTTTAATTCTACTAACATGTCTAAAGGTTGAAAATCTGCTAAAACAAGTTTATGATGCTTATGTTAAACTATAATGAGCAGCCACTTCACTATGATATGAGAAAAGAAATGTAAGTTTGTTTCAGAAGCAGACTGAGGCCCATTTCTTCACAGGTTCTGGTCAGGTCTGCTTGTTGAGTGCAGACTTACAGAAATGAACTGCAATAAGAGCAATCTCAAAGTACATTTTAATAAAACCAAAACTTCCAAGTGTGAAAACACTTTAAACTTTGTGCTTTGTTTTTTGGAAACAATAATACAATGCATATTTGAAATATTAGAAAATTATTTCAACATTTGAATTATTACCATTACTGTGTTGTTTACTGTGCTTTTTTCTTCATAACAGAAGAGGTCACATGTAACGTCAGAGACTGAAAGTTTCAATACACAACATTAATCCTCTGGCAGCCTCAAAACAGGAAAACTTTATTTACATCATAATTTTTAATATATCTAAATTAAAAAGCTGTTTAAATGTAAATCAATTATATTATTTCATTGACTATTAGTATAATTATTAAACAATATTGTGTAAAAAAAAAATGTTGCGATCCACTTTCCGGTATTTGAATCGGTGTTAATTTGCTTTAATTGCTCCAGTCCAATAGGTGGCGCTTCTCTAATTCTCACTTTTGGGTTACACAAGTGAAGCGGTTTCTTCTTGAGTGGACAGCATGAGAAGTTGGATGATGGAGAGCTCCATATGACTGAAGAAAACTAATTTGTAGTAAGTTCATAACACGTACAGTTCAGCGACTGTAGCGAGTGACAATTTTAATTCTGCCAGCATCATTGTAATGTTCATATTCCGGCTGCCTGTGGCGTTTAAACTGAGCAGACAGTGAAACCGAGTGACGCGTGTGCTGCTGCTGCTACAGTGCTCAGGCCTTTAAATGATAAAACAACGAGTGCGTGTAAAATAATACTGAGTCAATATTGACCATGCTCAATGTATTATAGACACGAGAATAAAATGTAGTTTTGTATTGGTCTAATCTACGATATTAATGAACGAGCGAAAGAACTGTTAAGTTGGAGAAAAGCTTGCATGAATGAATGCACATCCAGCTCTTATTTCGGACTAAATGGTGTTTTATTGATGTAAAGTTGATTTTAAATTTATACATTCTTGCTCCTTGATAAACATTTTTTTCAAACGCTGATCAAAGAAATCATAGTAGCAACCAATGACAAATAAACTGTGCGCTATTGTAGTTTTCAAG